AAACTATATAAATAATATGCGAACTCAATTGAAATTGATCGGCAAAATTAGCCAATCAGACAAACTTCTGCCTATGAATTATTATCATAATGATAATCACTTTTCCTCCAAAAACAACTATATTCGAAATTAGTGATATCTGTTGTTGAAAAAAACCCTAGCTGACTAAGAACTTTTTTTATCTTGGATAAATAATATGAATTATCAAAAAATCAATTATTTTTATTGTTTATAAACTTTTATCAAAAATCTATTTCTTTTCTTGTAAATATATCTCTATATCGTTTGATAACTATCATTATCATTATTCGTCCATTCAAAATCATCTTCATTGTCATTAAAAGGTACCTGGTTCACTATTATTATCGTTATCATTATTATTATTTTACAAGAAAGAAAATCAGACTTAAAATTCCTTGGCCGGCTAATATCACTATTTTTGCATTTTACGAAAATTCATTATAAATACTGTAGAATTCGAATAACAATAAACAACTTCTGGCCTTCGCTTAAAAAGTAAAAGACAACTTCAGGTTCCATACAGAGGAAAACAAATACAAATCTAACATTCTAATAAAATAAAAACATTATTTTTCCTTAAATAAAATTAATTCTTAAAATTGTTAATAAACAAAAACATCGACTTTAGTCGGCCATTCATTTACAGTGAACTTATGTGTAAAAAGAAAATTGTGGCAGCCATATCTGTTTGTGCAACTGCTTCTATTTGAAGCAGTTGTATCTATTTATAATGGTAGTTACCATTGTTGCAAATAACCAATTATGGCAGGTGTCTTTAGCCTTTCCAAAAAAATTTTTAAAGCCAATTTTTTTAAAACATATTCTATCGTTTTTTTATGATATTTCCAATTTGATTCATCTTTAAAAAATAATCTCAAATCCTGGGCTTGCTTTAAATGCCATTTCATGGCATTTTCTAGATTTAAATTACTTGTGATATCACTATAGATGATTGATTTAAATTTGAAAACATGTTATAATTATAAATGATAATTTTTTTAATAAATAAAATTTAGATTTTTGTTTTTGACGTTTTAGACTAAATATTTGATTTTTTTTAAAAAAAAATTCTTATAAGAAATTCACCAAAATTTATTTTTTCTTCGTTGTTTCATAATCCTTTCTGATGATTAATGGTTTGGCAAACCTTTAACTATTAGTTAGGAACTCTTTTAATTTTCTGATCGCCAGGACTTGGCAGAAAATGGCCAATATCTCTTCCTTCTGATATATTGGATAAATGATTGCGGGATATTTTATAGGCATTCAAGCTTATAAAATGAGTGTAGGTGTCACCTTCATCTTTTCCTTTTGCTATACTGTATAATAACATTTTTTCTTAGGATTGTGCAATGGCATGATGGCACTTTTC